CTTACTATTGATAACATTATCCGATGTAAAGGCACTATTAATATATCCCATTGAATGTCTCTTTTTTTCATTATTATATTCAACCCATTTTTGAAATATTTTTGGACTGATTGGTCCCCAGTCTGGACTCGCTTTGAAAGCACCAATGATTTTCTTTATATGTGTCGATCAGATACATAGAGGAATGGTATCCAAAAAGGATAAAAAAGAAAGTAAATAAAAGTTATAAGTGCTGGTCATTAAAGCTAATAAAATTTTTTAAAATATCAACTTTTAAAATTAATATTGCTTTATGTGATATCAATATTACCAGTTAATATAATGTACAGTATAATTATACAGACAAAACATGTTATATAATTTATATATAATTGATTTAAAAAGTTATTTATTTGTCTGGAATTTATGTAAAGTACAGTACATAACACATAACATATTGAATAAAAAGTTTTGCGTGAGTTTTAAAAATTGTTTGGCAATACATTTGACGATATATTTTAAAGAATTTCATTGCTTTTGTTTGTTATTTTTTTAGGTAATATTATTGCTATTAAAGCATAGCTCATGAAARTCGTGATAATTTTTATCGGATTTTGAAAATAATCACCAAAAATAAATAGTAAATTATGATTTTAGTCAATGAATTTTTTCAGCTAAGACTACCATAGCATGATATTAATTAATTCATTAAAACAAAATATAAATAAATAAAAATAAAAAAGTTAATGTTTTGATTAAAAAAAAGTTTTTTAAAAACTAACAAAAAATATGTTATATAATAAAAGTAAAAGTATAAAAAATTAAAATTGATTTTAATGCCGTATTTCAGGATAATATTAATTACAATTTTTTATTTTATTTTACGCAAGATAAATTTGTTTCACTTATTTTTATTAATCACATACCTGTACAATGTCTCCCTTTTGCATAATTATGGTTACTATAATCCATAGCGGCACCTGGATCATAGCAACCATAGCTTTAATTATTTCAAATGAAATAAACAAATATAAATATATATTTTTAAGTATAATAAAAATAAATGCAAATTTAATATTTGAAAGTATTATTTATATATACAAACCCAGAGCCCATCCAATACCAGTACCCCAGGCAGGCATTCCTACTGTATTTTGTGAACTGTTTGCAATTTCGACATTTCCGTATATAAATATAACCTATATATATAWWATATATATATAATACTTGAATTAATTAAATAATGATATAAAATATGATTGTATTTAGTGATTACAATGAGTGCAACAGGTGTGGCAAACCCCCAGGTCACTTTCCAAAACATACTGACTCTCTGACTTAACATGAATTTAATGTCTGAACAAAATCTTCGTAAACCATAGATCCAGAAGATGCCAACAGACTGGCAAATGCCATAAAAGAAGACAGCGGTTCCCACGCCATAGTTGTCCAACAATTGCATTACATAAGTGCCGGCCTTACAGACAATTGGAGGCAAACAAATAGGTTATTATAACCTTATATAGTTTTATATGAACATAAAATTTACATAAAAACTACATTTAATGATTTCTCAATAATTTATTATCATAACTAAATATATTTTGTATTTATCTTAAATGTTAATGGATATCATTTATAGTTAAACTCATTATTAGTTTGCTTTTGTTTCACTCCTAAAACACATTTTGTGCTATTTTATGTATGAAATTAAATTAAATAGTATTATATTAATATTTATAAAGTAAAGTTATATTTGTGTATATAATACAGTTTATATGCATATGTCATAATAAAACAAAGATTTCTTTATGTAAAACTCAAAAATAAATATTCTTTGAAAATTATAATATAAAATAAATAAAAAAATTAATTAATTCAAAAAATATAGTGTCCTATGTTTATATTGAAACTAATTGAAATGCTGTAATGGCTTATTTTCACATAATTTATAATAATTTATTAATTTAAAACATAATAATGCATTTTTATTTTCAGTAAAATATTTATATTAAAAAATTTCATTTTGACGTTTAAAGTAATTCATGAATTTTGCATTAATTGATAGAAAAACTATAATAAACTATTGAATACATACATCAGTGGCCAGCGGTAGACCACACAGGAAGAAGAGAGAGCAGGCAATGGCAGCCAACAGTCCTTTCTTTTGRTGTAATGACGTRAACTCATCCTTTATGGCGGTTAGTATAGTCTCCACCTGTGCTACTGAGCTGCCAATGCCCAGTGTAAAGAACATTAAGAAAAATAGTACCGACCAAAGTTGTGGCACCCATTTAATTGTACTCAAAGCGTGTGGATATACAACAAATGTCAGTCCCGGACCTAATAAATAAATCAAATTTATTTATTTTATTTAATAGCGATATCTAAATCTCTAAACTCAATCAAACTGACCGCCCTCTACAACATCTTTGATATCTTTGTCCATTACTTTAGCCAAATGTCCCAAATTAGAAAATATTACACAACCGGCCAACAAACTGGTACAGGTGTCCAAAACGGCTATTATAATGGCATCGCTGTCCATAAAATTACAGTAGTTTTAATAATTTTAGATAAATAAGTAGTAAAATAAATAAAATATTTTAAATACCGATAAACATTGTTATTAAATTCATTATAACTAGAGTACATAATAAGTGAGCCGAAACATACGGCCAATGAGAAAAATGACTGCTCCACTGCCCGATACCATACTATGGGCTCAAGTAATTTAGACCATTCAGGTGTAAAAAACCATTTGATGCCATCCCAGGCACCATCCATACTAAGAGCAACGCCTAATAATGCAATTAATACGGTATATGGAAATATGGCCGTAAAATATGAGACCTAATTATTAAAGTGGATAATAAACATATTAGTAATCAAACAATAAATTWAAAAAATTATGTTAATTACTATATAGATATACTGTATATCTATATTAATACTACCTTTCCTAAAGAGCTAACACCTTTAACAATGCTTAACCATACGAGAATCCATGAGCCCATAAGGCACAGAACAATTCGCCAACTGATCCAATTGATATCATCCAAACCACTGGATTTATGTAATACATTATGTCTAATAAGAAATTTGAAATTAATTAATAAATTTACTGTTTAATACTGTTATAATATGTAATATATTTAAAACTGACTCATAGTATAGATCAGCCCACGTCCTATTGAAAGGATTTGTCTGATTATCTTTAGGACAATGACCTCCAGGTATCCATTGTTCATCGCATACACTCCAAGGCAATGGATTTTGAAACGATGAAAATAAATAGTAAAGTGTTATTGCCATTAAATAGTTGTAAAATATTGTTATGTATATTGTCGTTACAATTTGTGCCACACCTATACCTTTAAATATATTTTATAAATTATGTCAGTATTAATAAAAAAACTATTTATTGTCGGGTTATACCTTTGAAAGCGGGCACACATTTCCAAACTCTGATGGGTCCGCGACCACTAAACTGACCCAATACGAGCTCCATGTAATACAATGGACGACCAATTATAAACAAAATTATYAAATATGGGATTAAAAAAGCACCTAATTTAACAAATATTTATAATTATGTTAATCAATGTACTTTATATATCAATATAATTTATATATATAAATCAATAAAATTCAAGCTAACTAACCTCCTCCATTAGTATATGCTATATTTCAAAAGCCAATAAAAATAATAGACAAAATAAAAACATAAATTTTAATTAACAATTTCTATTTATTTTTATTGATGGTATAAATATATAGAAAGCTATAATAATAATACCTGCGTGAGGGAACCGCCAGACCTATCAAATTCATAAGTATTAAATATTTAATAAATTAAGTGAATTTGCATTTTGTAGTATAAATTAAAAAATTATTATTATTATTACATTTCCTAATCCAACCGATAGAGATATACAGGAGAGAAGAAACTCCAATCCCTTCGCCCACTTTCCCCGGCCTTTGATCTCGTGATCTGTTTCTTGTGTCTCATTTGTGTTACCAGTAATTGTATTAGTCTTTAAACAAATTTTACATAAAATAAATTAACAAATTTATCAAAAATTACAATAAAATTAATGTTTTAACAACCATTTGTTGAATGTAAACACCCATAGTATTAGATTATTCTTTTATTTTTATTTATAATAAAACTTTTATTATAATTATATTTATATATAATTATGTTAAATAAATATTGATAATATGTGTGTCATAACTAATAAAATTTTTAATTGGTTATAAATAATTTTTAAATAATAATAATAATAAATGTATAAACATAAATATATGAAACTAGAATTGCTAATATTTAATAAATTAAAAACTTATTATATCAAATATACAGTGTGTTAGTAATTATTAATTAACATTATTTTATTAATAAACTATATTTAGATATACAGTAATATAAAAAGGGAAATTTTCTGAAATATTAATAATTTTCATAAATAAATATGTGAATAATATTCAAAGAATTTAACAATATGTTAAAATTATAAATATAAAAAATGACAAAAAAAACTTTTTAGTTATTAGAAAATTGCTGTTTGTTTACTTATTTATCAATTAAAAGAAAATGAAATTATCTAAATATTCTCACCAATTGTTGTTGTTGTTGTTGTTGTTGTTGCGGTTCATTTTGTTTAAAAGACATTATCAAAATAATAAATAAAATTTTGTTTCTTGAAAAATTTATGACAAATTTTACATAAAAATAAGTTTAATATWTTTTTATAAATTTTGTTTTAATTAAAGTTGAAATCAAAGTACAAAAAATAACAGCGATATTTGTTTTTTATCATTTATGTATCACATAATTAATTTATTTTTCTTCTATGAAAACTTATAATTATTGAAGGCTTTCAATTAGTTTTGACTTTCAAACGATTTTTCGACATAAATATAAACTAAACGATTAAAATACATAATAAGATATAATGAAAMTAATAGTAAATATCAAAGAAAAAATAAACAAACAAAATAATAATATTATTAATAATAAATCTTGAAATCTTTATATAAGTTATATAAATGTTGTAAAAATGCAATTTTTGATAACTTTATGTAAAAACTTTAAAACTTTTTCACACAATTAAAAAAAATTAAATATGAAGTCATTCAACATATTATACATCATTTAGACACAAACACACAAAAAATGAAATACAAACCAAATTTTCAATGATATTTATAAAATAAAATACGCTTTAATTAGACAAAGAGGTGAGTGATATAATAATTATTGTCATAAAAATAAAAAGTTAATTATTACTGATTAATATAATACAGAACACACATAATATATATTTTTAACAGTTTTTTAATGCGCTATCAAATGTCGACACGATTTATAAAGTAATGAAATTGTAATATTTAATTATTATAGTTTGCAGTAATAAAATAATTACAAAATCTAATAATACTGATTATTCTAATAATAACAATAATAATATTAATATTTAATGAATTGCTTCAATTAAATAATAACATCACATAAGACACTAAAATATACTTATATACAGAATATTTATACAAAAATATAGTGCAGTCATAAAACTAGATCACGTTGTCTTAGGTTATTATTTTTGTCTCATACGGTATATATACAGTATATACAGTATTTATGATATGATATGAATTTAAATATTTGCAGAGAAAATGAACCAAAAAAAATATTAGCAGGACTTAAGTCCTAACAGAGGTTTATTAATAATAATAACAATAATAATACAAACGAAAGAATTATAATAATTAAGATAAGGTTTTCAAAAGACTAAACACTAAAATATTTATTTTTATTATTAATATACGTTTACACAGAAATATTGCATATTTAGTGATATCTTAGCTCTACTCTGTCTGTTCTCTCTCTCTCTCTCTCTCTCTCTCTCTCTCTCTCTCTCTCTCTCTCTCTCTCTCAAAACACTTCCCAATCTTTCTTCAAAGACATGATTCATTAAAATCATTAAAGAGTCCGTTTCGGCACATCGTTGATCACAGAAATGAAATTATATGAGTGTTTATAATAGACTATATGTGCTGTTAATGGTATTAACGACGGCCTTCATTAGTCTTTTAAATGGTTTAATGTTTAGAAATTTAATGGCAAACTCGAGTCCTCCCAATCGGGAATTGTCTCAAACGTTGAGGTGAACCACTAAATACAGCTTAAGGCACATGATTTAGGTTTGGTTAGGTTAGGCATATATATATACAGTACTGTATATTATAATATACATGTATTCAAACAATTGTCATAATTGTTAGAATACATCAATTTATTTCTCACTATAAATTGATGAATAAATAATATCTATATTTATGACTTAATTGAAGCAAACATTTGCTCTCATTTCAATTTAATACTGATTTGTATTTAAAATATTTACCAAATATGATACCAAACTTAGGCAAACAATTAAGTATAACAAAAATGTATTGCACAATAAAATTTATATACATCACAATAAATTTTCATTTAAAATTTAGTTTGTTATTAGATAATAAAATTCATATAGTGAATTAAATTATTTTTATGGCATATATCATATTTCATTTTAAAATTAAACAATAATTATTTTAAATCATTATTTTATTTTAATCATTCAAAAGTTTTTATCGTTTTTTATGTCCGCTTATTTTAAATGTCATAAAATTTAATATAATTCTTGAATAAACATTGCATAAAATTTTTAACAATAAATGTGAAAATGTACTGTACATACATTGTATATATTGTTTTATGTGATTTAAAATCACTGATTTTACAACAAAAACTTTATTGTACTACTACTGTGTATTAACCATTATTACCGTAATTCAAGTTTACTCTCTCTCTCTCTCTCTCTCTCTCTCTCTCTCTCTCTCTCTCTCTCTATATATATATATATATATATATATATATCCTCTTTTTCTTACAATTGTATAATTATTTTTTATATTTATAAAAGTCATGAGAAAATGTTGTTACAGATATCTCATACTTATCTGATATATCGATTTGCTATGTATTTCAATGTTTTAAACCAATTAATAAAATACTCCCTCTTTTAGCCCTAAGGTATCAAAGCCTTGCCTATCCCTATGTATGCTATCATCGCATAACTTGATCCTTGGCCTCAAATATGATTTTATTTGAAAATTTTATAAAACATTTATTATTTATTTAAATCTTACTATTACTGTAAATTGTCATTAAAATGACAATATTTTTAGAAAATCAAATCATTTAATAAAAAATTATTAACAAAACAATGAGAAAATGTCTTTATTTGGATTAATACGTAAACCTTTTATCAACACAATATCCTTCATTATAAATCCTAACATTATATTAATTTAATAATTTTTAAAGTTAGAAAAACATTTTGTTTGCAAACATCAGAGAAAATTTGTTGTTAAAGTTATTAAAAGTTGTTATAGTATTGAATTATAAATAAATAAATAAAAAAGTTAAAAAGCTATTTATAATAAAAATCATTTTATTAATCATTTTGACATAAAATATGTAACATTAAAATGATGTTAAATAACAATAAATGTTTAATCAATTATTTTCTTCTCTGTGTAAATGAAAACGAATCTGAATTACCGCTAAAACCGGTAAAACCAGAACTAAATGGAGAGGTCTGTTGTGTTGGCTGTTGTTGTTGTTGAGTACCCGATGCGAGCGCTCCAAACGTTAAGCTACTATTGGCTGCCGAAGCAAATCTATTGTAACAATATTTCATATTATTATTTGATTAATAAACCAAAAAACAAATAAATTTATACCCAGAAGTAGATCCAAATGTTGATTGATTTGAAAACGCAGATCCAATAGACGGTTGACCGCCAAATGTCGGTGCACTGCCAAAAACCGATTGTTGCGGTGAATTACCAAAAGTAGGAGACCCACCAAAAGTAGGATTACCAGCAAACGTAGGACTACTACCAAAAGTAGAATTACCACCAAATGCAGGATTGCCACCAAAAGTAGGTGAACCGCCAAAAGTTGTATTACTGTTGAATGCGGGCGAACCACCAAAAGTTGGAGCTGGAGATTGGGTCCCAAATGATGGCAAACTACCAAACATTGGTTGAGCTGATTGCTGTGGACTCGAAAACTTAGATAATGGTAAATCTGAAGAATTAGTTCCACCAAATCCTTTAAAACTAGTGAATGGAGTGCTTGTGGTCGAAGAAATTTCATTCGTTTCAGACACTTCTGCAATTATATCCAATTTATGACTCTCTTCTTCATTAATTGTTTCATTAGGATTAATGATTGTTGTATTACCAAAGCTAACACTTTTCCCAATATTACTCGTTGTGGTGACAGTCGGCACACTTTGTGTRGTTGTCTCACCTTTTTTACCAAATGACAAATCAGATAATGAGTTGGGAGTAGAATCTCCTGTAATAAGTGCCGATAATATAGGCATAGATTTAGAGGTTGATGTCATAGGAGTAGTATTCGATGGAATACTTGATATTTTCGTCGAATTCAAACTGAATGACAACGGTTTGTCTGTAAATGTCTGAAATACATCCGTAGATTTGTTTGCATTATTAGTTGTCTGTAATAATGGTTTTGAAGAAATAATTTTGTTTGCATCCAAAGACATGGATAATGAGTTCAGATTAAAATCAGATTTTTCTTTATTTATTGACTCATTTTCTGGAGATTTATTAATCGTTTTGTCGACAGTTTTAGTCATAATTATCGTCGGAGTTGTAGTCACCTTATTATCCAATGGTTTGGTGGATGTAGTTGTTATAGGAGTAGTATTTGAAGAAATATTAGATACTTTCGTCGGATTCAAACTGAATGCCAATGGTTTGTCTGTAAATGACTGAAATAGTTCTTTAGGTTTATCAGCGAACGGTTGAAATACATCTTTAGGTTTGTCAGCGAATGGTTGAAATAACTCTTTAGGTTTATCAACGAATGACTGAAATACATCTTTAGGTTTATCATCGAATGGTTGAAATATATCCTTAGGTTTGTCTCCATTATTGGTCTGCAATAATGGTTTAGACGAAATAATTTTGTTTGTATCCAAAGAAATAGATATTGGGTTTATATTTAGATTTGATTTTTGTTTGTTTGTCTGATTTTCTAAAGATTTATTAATCGGTTTGTCGACGTTTTGGGTCTTAATTACTGTCGGAGTTATTATCACTTTATTATCCAATGATTTTAATGTTTGTGTCTTTTGTTTTGGTTGTTCTTCAGTAGTCTTGTTAACAATAATTGAATCACTTTTTGATGAATTCTTTAATTTCTTTGATAATTCAATATCTTTTTGTTTTTCTTTAATCTTTTGAATGGCAGAAACAAAATGCGATGAATTATCAATTACTCTTCTGACGGGAACTTTAGTTCGACTTTCAAAAAAATTTCTTAAATTAGTTTTCTTTTCATTGGAAATAGATTTCAATTTAAAAAGTCTTTGATTGGCTAAATCGTCAGTCGGAATGTCTTTTATTGTTGTTTTGCTCATAGAATGCGACAAATTTTCAATCAATTTCTGATTTGATTTATTCGGTGATTGATCTTTAGATGACCGGCCTTTCGATCTGAGTCGCGGTGATCCTAAACTTTCTAATGTATCGAACTGTAGATTTAATGCATTAATAACCAGTTGATTGTTGGCTAATGTTTTGTATATGAGTTCCAAATTGCTCTTTGAATGAATACGATTTGTAGGCTTTCCTTTACTAACTTTTCTTTTATCGAGCCATTCATACCATTCCTGTTCAAACTTTGCATCCAATTCTCTCAATTGGATTTCAATGTATTCATTGAGTGAATGAATTTCTTTCATTCTACGCGCTGTCATCGGATCCAATGCTCTTTGTTTAAGAAGATTTCTATAGTTTGGATCAACATTTCTATCTATTATAGACTTTGCTTCTTCTATCAGAGAAAACGACTCAATAAGACTTGAGTGCAAAGTTGTTGTATCTTTAGAACAATCTTTAAAATTGACTTTAACTTCATTGAGGACATCAACTATAAGTTTTGTATCGTTTCTTAGTTTCATTTGTTGTTCCTTTTCTCCAATTTTTACATTCATTTGAGAAATTTTGTTCTTTGTTTCTGACATTAATTGTCGAAAATTATTAATTTGTTGTTTAATTTCACTCATATATAACTCGTTTGTTGATTTAGTTGTGTCTTCAGTATGAATAACCCTATTAATGGTTTGTGTGGTTTTCAGTTCCCTATTGTTGGTAACCGTTTGTTGTGAACTTTGTTTAATATTTGATTCGAGAGTTTGAGACTTAAAAATAGTTGTATTTTGTTTGGTCTCATAAGATGGCAATTGTTTTGGACCAGTAATAGCTTTTAAAACATTATTAGAATTATCTTCAAATGTTAATGAAGTTGACTTAGTTTGTGGTAAAAGTTTTGAACCAACTATCGGAGTACTGGTCGCTGTAGGCTTATTACCGGTACTTAATTGTTGTAATGGAGAAGATATAAGTGATGGTTTGTTTTGAAGATTAGTAGGTTTAACAATATTGGGCAAAACGGGTGATTTTATGTGACCTGTTTTATCAATCATCAAATATGGCACAAGAATACCACTAGTGTTATACACGAATAGTATGGGACAGTTGATACCGCCATACGTTTCAGTTGCGCTTATTTTATAAATATTTTGAGTTCCCTTTGAAACAACCATTCCTTTAAAATATGTTTCATTGCCTTCATTATCAATTGGAAGCTCAATACGAGAACTGTCATCTAATGTCCATTGCGACCAATTATCAGGAACTGCTAGATCTTTATCAACATTACATCCAATAATAGTCACTTCAGAAGACATTGATGTCGAACAGAGAATAATATTATTAAATTGAAAAAGATTGACACAATAGGAATCTTCGAAATCCAAATTGTCATAACAAACGGCTCCAAAGTCTATAAATATTGGTTCCGACTTCGATGGAGTCGATACTAACAACAAATGTGGATCTTTATCGACATCATTGTCTTTGGCCACATAAACGGCAAATAGTGACGATATAATCCATTTGATTGCAATCACATTGTGTTCATTTAGACTATTTATAAGAGCAGTTTTCTTGACAAAAACTAATTGATATTCAGGCGTCAGTTTGTACTGAAAAAATAAACCCTTTTCCAGTCCAACAACTAATTGTTTGCCTTTCGGTGACCAACAAAGAGACAATACTTTTGGTTGTTTACCGGAGTTGTCGATCAACTTATCGGTCAAAATAGCAGATGTTTTTGAGTCGATATCATTCATTGAAGTAAACACTGAACCATCGCTAACACAACAAGCAAACAGACTGTCACTATATTCTGGATGCCATACAATGTCTGTAACTAATCCGTTGGCATTAATTAAATTGATTCGACCGTATGGTAAGCTCTAAATAACATTTGTTTCATTATTAGTAAAAAATCTCAATTATAAATACAATTCAAAACATACCTTATTTTGGTTTTTGTAAATATCACTCAAACCATAAAACAAAACAATCGGTGACTCGTTTTGGCCATCAGTTCCGCAAATAACTATCTTATTGCCAAAACCATTGGACGACACAGATATAAGATTTGGACGAATGATTAGCGGTATAGAAAAATATGCAAACTCTTGGCATAACTCATTGATCACCGATTTGTTCCACTCGTAGGATAACAATGTGTCAAACGATATGACAGACAAATTGGTATCATTGGCGACAAAAACTTGTTGTAAATTGTTATCCACTGACAAACATTTGAGACCATCTGTAATGGCAACCGATAACTGAAACTTCTTCAGCTCAAGAAATTTGAATGTCTGTCAATCATATAAACATAATCTTCAGTAAACCGGTTATTATTATMAATCAAATCAAATACTTACGCTATTATCGGTCAATTGGCCACTTTTGACGGACATTTTTAGTCACTATTTTTAATAATCGTTTTTAAAAATGTTTAATAGTTAACCATAAATTCAATTCAAAACCAATTAGTCATCAAATGAGTGATAAATTGTGGATCAATTGTGGATCAATTGACACCAATTAAGTGTTAAACTATTTGATCATAAAATGCGTTCAAAATTTTCGTATGAAATATGAATATAAAATAAAATACAAGTTTTCACACAAATTACGGACTAAACTATTGTATTCATATATAACGTAACATTTATGATATTTATTTGTTTCCCCAAAATAATGTGTAATTGAATTCATTGATAATACAGTATATTTGTGACAAATAAGTCACAAAATGACAAAACAATGTAACATTTTATTTGAAATTCAATTTACATACAGTAATGCAGTATTAAAACTGTCTCACTTTGTGCTAAACCAAATCTATATGAGTTGCACCACAAATACATAGATATATCATAGATTATACTTAATATATACATACAAATACAAATTAAAACTCCTCCTCTAAGCATTAAACGTTATAATATCGCGCCCATATATATTGCTGTTATACTATAAAGCGTACAGTAATAATGTAAAGATTTATATATAAGATATTATTTTTTAAATTAATTTATTAACTAATAAAATATAAATTATAATTTTTTATTGAAATAGAAATATTTTAAATTTTTAACTTTATGAATATATTAATTATTATTTAATTATTATATTTTAATTTAATAATTATTTAAATTTGTATTTAATAAATTATTAATTGTATTAATTATTAATATGGAATATATAAAAAATTATTAATTATACAAAATTATTATAAAAAATATTAATTATAAAAATATTAATTATAAAAAATATATATATTTAATCTAAAAAAATGTAGATATTATATGACAACTATGACATTAGTTTTATTATTATTATTATTATTATTAGACATTTTAATTAACTTTAATTAACTTTAAAAACTATATTATTGCACATAATTGATTGTTATTAATATTGTGTTGTATTTATCACAATATTTAGTACTATTTACAACTAATATTTATTATTTAATCACATTTGTTATCACAAATCTAAAAGTACTTAAACAACACGTGGACTTAGTTTGTTTTCAATGCCACACAATGTCATCCTATAATACAGTCAATAGTATATATGCGCGCAATATTATAGCGTCTAATGCTTAAGGGGCGGAGTTTTTACATGGCATAGTTATTATACACACTAAGTTGTATTGTTTGTATATATTAAGTATAATCTATGATATATCTATGTATTTGTGGTGCAACTCATATAGATTTGGTTTAGCACAAAGTGAGACAGTTTTAATATCAATAGTACTGTCTATTTGAGTGATCACGTGATAGATTGGCAGACATTGTGACCAAAACAGTGATAATAATAGCAAAAGAGTTGATTAACTAAGAGATCAGTTGTTGATTGAAGTACTTGTGGTATAATTAGTTGTATTGAAGGAATGGGTCATTTGGTGTTTGGAAAGTTGGCTTTTGTGCGAAACATAATATATGTGCGATTGTCTCCATACGAACAAAAAGCTTTACCACACTTTTGGTCCCACACTTGGAAAGGATTCAAAAGAGACTTCAATAGTGTCTTTCCTTACGCCGGACCCGCCTTTCTTCACGCATATCTCGTATATTTGTGGGGAACGGCTGAGAATGACAGACTCAAGAGGAAGAACCCCAAAGACTTTGAAAATGATGTCTAAATTAATGACTTAATTAATCATTAATTATATCTTTATTTGATTTCAATTTTCTGTTGAATATATTTACAATATTAATGTCAGTAATAATTAGTGTATTTTGTGTTAAATTATTTTCAATTTTAGCAATTGATTAGATAAATAAATTTATGTAATATTCAGTAAAGTTTTAAATAACTTAGAAGTTATGTATAATTAAATTGTTATTAAATAAAAACTTGAATTCTTCAAAGTTATAAATTATAATAATTAATATATTTTCTACAACTTTGGTATAAATGACATATTCTAACAATAATTACTGAAATAGTGTTAAATATTTAGTATAGAAATTAAAATAATGACTTTCAAAGCCAAATGATAGGATATATGATATCAGAAGACATCACTTATAATTTGTTAACCGTAAATGAAAATTGTTTATAAAGTTTATAAATTGCATCAAATGTCTGATCAATTAAAATATAAAATAATGTAAACTATTCTTTTGGGTCTCCAATACCATCGGCATTGATAGAAAAGCTGGCGTCAGCTTCGGGCAGATTCGGAGAGTCATAAACGCGACAAATTCTGTTCTCTCCTTTGGCTTTCTTGAGGTATAGTCGAGTAGTGGATGCGTGAGCCATAATATGACCACCTATTGGTTTTTTAGTGTCGGCCGAAAACATAGCACTGGCGTCAACATTAGCGACAACTTGATTGGTGATGACTACGGCTACACCAAACTGATCTGCCAATCGTTGAAGCATTCGCATAAATCTGGCCAAATGCATTTGACGGGCGGCCAACTCTCCTCTGCCGCAAAAATCAGTCCTATAAAGAGCAGTAGCGCTATCAACCACAAGAAGCGCATATCTTGACTCAGACATCATATGCGCAGCTTCTATGAGTAGCTGTGTTTGATGATCACTATTGTAGGCGCGGGCGTACGCAATGTTATCCAACACTTGATTTTCATTGAGTTTATATCGTCGAGCGATATCAATGAACCGCTCGGGTCTGAACGTGCCTTCAGTGCAAATGAATAAACACTTTCCTTCAGCCCCGCCGTCATCGAAGGGCAACTGACACGTAACGGCCATTTGATGACATAATTGCGATTTCCCGGTTCGGAACTCTCCGAACATCTCAGTTATAGATCCCGTCTCAACACCTCCTAAATCATAAAACACATTAAATTCTCGCATATCTTAAAAATTACAAACCTTTCAATAGATTGTCCAACTCTTTAGATCCGGTTGTTATGACCACAATATCTGAGCGTTTGATATGGTATTCAGTGGCGGTCGAGAAGCCCATCGGAACCAATTTCATTGCACCCGCAATAATCTTATCAGCCTTTTGTTCAGAAATGCCTTTAATTTTGAGTAAACTATTTTTGGTGACATAAGCCACTGATTCAACCGTATGATGACCGGCTTCTTGTAATTTCTTGATATCACCGTTAGTGATGCCATTTCCCTATTTTGTATTAATACTACTTTAGTATCAAAGAGTTTTAATGTCTTACTATATGTTAATACTTCTAATTTGTTAATTGGTGTGAAATTTTGATCCAATTCTTCCTCAGCAGTCGTCTCGTCCACACTTTGGTCGTCTTCCAGACTCTCGTTTTCCTTGTCGTCCATTATCTCGACATCCCTTTGGCGTCCTCTCTGTCTTTGAGCCATTTGTTTGATTTATTGGACACTAAATGTTAGTCTTAAACGTGAATCAAATGACAATAAAGACAATCAAATAATAGTTGTCTTAAAACCAAACATTTATATCAAACGCAATCAAAACATCAAATGAGCGCCAAATGAGACACACATTCAATACGTTTGACAACCAATCAGATGATAGTATTTGTCAATTAATACGATTGGTTGCCATCTATGGTCACCATTTGGTATCACTATTACTGATGACTATTCAGATCATTCAATACAAGTAGAGTTAAAGAAAATTATAAGTGATTTGTTTTTATTCATTACTATATTTTTAATTTTTAGTTGTTTAACATTTTAACTAAATATAAATAAAATACATTTTTCCTAAAACATTTATATTAACAATTTTATATTTTAAAAACTTATTTTATTTAATATTTGTATATTTATTTAGAATTTTATAATATTTTAATAAAAAACAAAGACATTTTATTTAATTTTATTATTTATATAATTAAGTTATTAAATAAAACTTAAAATATAGCAAATTATTTATTTAGTATATTTTGGCATTTGTTGAATTTGAATAGTTATTATAGATTTTAAGATTTTGTAAATTTATAGATTTATTTATCAATTTTGTCACCTATTTTATATAAAATTATTTATTTTTATTTTATTAATTTTCATTAATTTTGTGTATCGTATAACAAAAAAAAACATTGGATTTTCAAAATAACTTATATTATATTATTAGTGTGTTTTAAATATACTGTATATTAAAATATCAATATAATAGTAAATATTTTATATTACAAATACCTGGGTGGCTCGTACCCTTGTTACATTTTAAAAATTAAATTTCTCAAAAACTGTACATGGTAATTTATTTAAATATAGATTAAAATATTATCCCTTGTATAGGATTTAATTAATTTAATTAAAAAAAAATTTAACATTTTTTTCATTGATATTGTTTTAATTAAATTAACTTTTGTGGCGAGATTTTGGCCATTTTTATTATAAGCAGTCAATGGACACTCGCTTTACTAATGTTAATGTTTTATTTATTTATATCAATATTTTTTTTGGTTACAAAAATAAAAAATATAACATAAAAAATCCTATACTTTGATGAGTATTTTGGAGGTTTTTTGAATAAAATACCATGTACAGTTTTTTAGATATAAAATTATTAAAATGTAACAAACGAGAGAGCATTGTGTGAAAAGTTATTATTAAAAATTATTAAAAGTACACAATTTAATAAAATAATAAAACTGTTATAATTAAAGTAATTGATTTTATGTTAATTTTTATAAAGAATCTAAATTATGTTATTTTTATTATTTAAAATTAAACAAATATTATATCAACAGTTCATTTGTATAATTGTATTCTTACTGTATATTAAATTTTGCGATTATTTAAATTATTAATTATTTTTAACAATATGACAACAATTCATATTTTTACGTTTGTTTTGTTAACTTTTTAAAAAATATTTGGTATCAAAACCGCAGTGTATATGATTTACGTTAATACAGTATGTAAACGTATAAATTGGACAGTAATACCTTGGTGCAACAACTTTATCCAATAGATGTCTATCTAATGCAAGTCTATGCAAATACAATGATATCATAGTATTGTCTAAATGCATATGTAGTCTATGAATAGCATTTTTTATTTATATTTTATTTATTTATAGTAATAACACTTTTTAAATAAAAAATTTCAATTATAATATTAGATTTGATTAAAAAAATAATAGTTGAAAATATGTGTTTTTATGCTATTCATAGACTACATATGCATTTAGACAATACTATGATATCATTGTATTTGCATAGACTTGCATTAGATAGACATCTATTGGATAAAGTTGTTGCACCAAGGTATTACTGTCCAATTTATACGTTTACATACTGTATAATACTATACAATATGTATAATATTATAATAATTTTACAATAATTATAAATTATAATAAAGTAATGTATACACTAACTACTGTATAGAGTAGATATATTATAGAGTCTATAATATAGACCACTGGTTATCATTCAAGTGATTTCTGATTACTTTTGATTAAAATGCACTGTCGAAGCTTATGGTTTATTATAATATATTTCATCTAGCTCAAATACACTGTTACATATTAATTTTAATTAAGTGGTATATTTTATTTAATATTATATGAAAAAGGTTATTAAATTTGTGTATTAGAATTTTTTTGTTTTTTATCTTGGTCAGTAATTATGTTTTTAAGTAAGGGACCGTATAATAATCGTGATATCGCCTGATATAGACTATATTTAATATAGTATCTACACAGTCTATATTATAGACTKTATAGATATGATATCTATCTATTAGATACAGTAAAATTTATATTAATACTATTGATATTTTTAGTTTATTGTGATTACCAATAGATGACATACGTTGTTTAGCAAAGTTTATAATAAAAATTGACCATGCATATTTTTATACACTGTATTTATGTATTAATATAGTACTACTATATTATCAATTTCATTAATAACTTATAAAATATAGCAAAATAAATAAATATTTATTATATAATTATTTATAATTTTGAGAAACTGATCTAAACTTTTTCTAACTATGATTTAAGTATTATTTGATTATATGATATATTCTAAAATATTCATTTCATTTATTGTAATCTTTTAATTATTTGTTGGATATTGTAATATTAATTTTAATAAAGTTAAATTTATTTAATAATGCCAATAATAATATTAATATATAAATCTATAATTTAGGTATTGTACTTGTCATGAAAGATAAAAATAAATAAATTATGTAAAGATATATATTAAAATTTAACCTGGTGGAATTAAAAAAGTCATTAAAATAATTTTATTGTTGATGAAATTAATTAAATTGTTTTTTAATGTCTCTTGATAAATTAATAAATAATTCTGCATTAATATAGTAAAAAAAGTTATCAAATCTTTTAAAATAATTTATAATATTTACATTTTTTGATTATATTACATCAAAAAATGTAAATTCAAAAAATATCGAAAGAATTTATTTAATTTTTTAGTGTATCTTAATATTTATGGATAATATGAACTATATTTTGAATAATACTAGTATTGATTATCTTAATAATTCTAGCTCTAAATATTTTAGTAATAGATAATAGATTTATATTAGATTTTCTTTTATTAAAATACAAATATATTTTTAAAAAAATCATTTTATRAATTTTCACATTTTTATGATTTCTTTAATTTATTTTTATTGAAATGATTAGAGTTTTAACTGTCAAGTTGTATGAATTGAATACAAATAATTTGTATGAAATAAGTTTGGAAATTTAAAATACTTATTACTCCTTAAATTCTAAATGTTATATTAATTTTTACAAAAACAATTATTTTTAAAAACTTAATAATCAAATAGTTTGAAATATTTTTAACTATAATACAGTTAATTTACAATATTTTGCTGACTTTCTTAACTTCTAACAGTTTATAATAATGCAATAATTGTACTAAATTTATGTTAGCAACCAATTATTTAAGCAATTTATTTCATAGATTTTAAAAACAACAAATATTGTTGAATTACAAACTGTACTTTAAAATACAAATTAGAAACAGTGTTTTTATAAAAATTATATTAATAAAGATTAAATATAATTTTATTTATTATACAAATAATAAAATATTAAATACAGTATTATGGAAGTCTGAGTCTGTTTTAATATATTCATTACAATACAATCATTATTTATTAAGTGCTTACAATAGTCAACAATAATTATACTTTCAATAATTTTAAATAATTATTTTTTCATATAATTACTACTGAGCTTAAAAAGTTTAATCTAAATATAATWTAATTTCAATATATAATTTGCATTAATTTAATACTTTTCAACTTTAAACATAAAAGTTATCAAATAATAATTATATATCATATAAAAAAATTSAATATATACTATATATACCGTATATTTCATATATATATATATATATATATATATATATATATATATATAGTATGTGTGTGTTTTTGAAACAATTAAAATAAAAATAATTTTTATTTATTTATACATATATCTTTCAAATTAAATTATATGGCAATTGGTCTCACAAAGTCTTAAACTACAGTTTAATATAATCTAATATTTAGTAATAAAAAATTTAATATTGTAGTAATATTTGTTTGTATTTTTACTATATTTACAGAAAAATAAACTTATAATAATGCGTGAAATTATTGTAAAATATTATATATAAAAGACATTTTGAAGGTTAACACCAAATAAACTGAAAACTTAATTTATTTTTCTTTTAAAATATACTGTATATACAGTATATAAATTTATATTACAATTGAATTTGAAAGATTTCTATTTTTATATAAAAAAATATTACTTATATTTCATCACATGATAGGGCGTCTAAAATAATGAGTTATTATAGTGTTTAAGGAGTAAATTGATTTATTAATAAATATTTAAATTAAATAATTTTTTACAATGGTTTTGATGTAATCAAAAACAAGTTTATAGAAGCTTTTATCTAAATATAGAGAAAGTAAATAATTAATTATTTAAATGTAAATTTATTTATGTTTTTAAAAATATCGACTTATATAAAGTTTTAAAAAATTATTAATTTCTAATTTGTCTAACAATAATAAATGTCAAATAATAAAATGATTATTATGTTTATAATAATAAATGCTAATAGTAAGATGAAAAAATTATAAACAAAAATATATTGCATTTAGAAAGTTTTTAAAATTATTTTTTTATTATGTTTAAAATTATTTTTTATCAAAATTCAATTTTACGTATATCCAATTATTTTTTTTTGTAGTTTAAGTACATTAAATAGTTAAACATTATTTTACATTACAATGTTTTATTACTCGAAACTTTTGGTATTAATTGAAAATAGGTTTAGTGATTGTGATTTAATTGAGCCAAATTACAAACCAACCACCTGTCCATCTCGTTATTGCAATATCATGTCCTTCAATGACATTAAACATTATATCAAATAATTTTAAACACATTTTTACTCTATATTTTAAATATAATATATTAATAAAGCCTTTAATAAAATAACATACAGTATTATAGTTTAGTACTCAATAACAATGTTGTGWCTGTTTTTATAATTAACTTTAAA